CAGGGTTTGGTGAGAGGGGGTCAGGATTGGAGAAACCACTTCATAGCAGAGGATCCTAGAAAAGCCTGATTTTCCCCAGGAAAGACTAATCCCCCTTTTTCTCTCCTATTGCAGAGATCCAGTCCCAGCTCTCCCTGGTGACCCACGGCCAGGGCTGCTTCACCGTCTTCGTCGGCCTCAACGGCTCAAGGGAAGAGTTGGGGTTGGAGCCCACCAACTACTTCATGTACCCAGGGAGTGACCTAGATGGAATGTAGGTTTGGCTTCACCTGCTTCACTGAGCTTAAGGAGATGAATTCCTGGGCGGTGACTCAGAAAACAGGGATTCAGCTGAAATGAGGACTCAGGCAAAGGTACGCACCAAACTCGCCTCAACCCTTGCATCCCCCTGCAGCATGAGGCACTACACGGACTTACCCAGAGAAGAAGCTGCCAAGAACATGCCTCTCCTCTTTGTCACCTCCCCCTCGTCCAAGGACCCCACCTGGGAAATGAGGCACCCAGGTAAGACTGAAGCCCAACCACAAATGCTTGTGAGGGGCTCCAAAACTCTTGTTGGGGTTTGGTGACCCCCAACAAGGAGTTTCTTCTCAACTATCCATGGTCAAAGCTGCTGAGCAGGTGGCTCATGGAATGCAGTCTTTGAGATACCTGGATGAAGGACATGGAGCCCCAAAGACCTGGGGACATCCCCTGGGTTTGGGTGGGGAGGGTTTGGGGCAGCAGGGTGGGGTGAATGTGGGCAGAGGGATAAGTGCCCCATCCTTGTCCCCCCGCAGGTAAATCCACGCTGGCCATCGTCACCTTCGCCAGATACGAGTGGTTTGAGGAGTGGAAGGATGAGCAGGTCAACAAGAGGGGTGATGACTACGAGGACCTGAAGAAGACCTTTGTGGATGCTGTCATGCAGACTGTCTACAAGCTCTACCCCCGCATTGAGGGCAGGGTGAGGAAACTTGGGTCTTGGGGGTCCTAAACTTGGGTTTCAGGGGTCCTCCAGCTCCTCTCTGTGTCCCCTCTACACACCCAGCACTGGAGCTGGGGCTGAACCCGCTGGACATGAGGTCCAGCATCACTCTAAGCCATCACTGCTGCCTCCTCATGATGCGAGGGTGAGTGGTCATGGAATCAGGGAGTGCTTTGGGTGAGAAGGGACTTTAAAGCTCATCCCATTCCACCCTCTGCCGTGGGCAGACACACCTTCCACTAGAAAAGTTTGCTCCAAGCCCTGTCCAACCTGGGCAGACCTGGATGACTGTCCCAGGATGATCCTTCAGAACCAAACCACCCAGGGGTCTGAGAGGGAACTCATCTCAGCCCGTACCCCCCCAAAAACAACTTTCTGAAGCAGAAGGCTTCCCCTCTCCCTGTCCTGCTACCCTGCAGACCCCCCTGTTGCCCCATCCCTGCAGGTGGAGTACCTGTCCGGCGGGACACCCCTCACCAACCAGCACTACATCGCCAGCCCCCGCGGGGAGCTGTACGGCGCCGACCACGGCATCCCCCGCCTGCAGGCCGAGGTCATGGCTGCTGTGAGGGCAGAGACGGCCGTCCCCAACCTCTACCTGACAGGTGACAGGGCCAGCAGTGTCCTCAGGCGGGGGCAGCTCTGGGGGAGCGGGGTGTGGGGGCAGAAAACTTCCACTCCTGAAATGGCATAAAGGGAAGAGCCCCTGCGGTGCTGTGGGTCAGTGGAAGAGCCGCTGGAGAAGTGGAGTTCCACAGTCCCAAGGGGAGGAGAAAAGGGCTGTGCTCCTCCAGCTCTGGGAGATTGTCTCCTTGCCCGGTGCAGGATGGGGCAGGATGAAGCCCTTTTCTTGCCTGGGAGAAGGAAGGGGTCAAACAGGGAGGGGGTTGTGGGTTCAGACCCCAGGGATGATGTGGGGGCAGCTGGAACGTGGGGAAGGTGATGCCCAAACCAGCATTTGTGGTTGGCTGGGATAGAATGGGGAGCGAGGACTGCTCCCAGGGGGACCATGGCTGCTTCTCCCTCCTTCCAGGGCAGGATTTGTGCCTGGGTGGCTTCATGGGAGCCCTGCAAGGAGCCGTCATCTGCGCCAGCACCATCCTCAAGCGCAACCTCTACGCTGACCTGGTGAGACTGAAGAAAAGCTTGCAGGCCACCAACTCCAAGAAGGGAAACTAACACCTGCTGTCCTACCATCAGGGACCCCCCATGCCCCACCACATCACCCCCACCTCCGCATTCTCTGCTGTCACACACCCGTAGCAGATCCATCCCCATGCAAAGCCAAGGATTTCAATCCAGGAAGATGCCATTCCCGTTCATAGCTAGACTGTTTTGCACCTCACCCACCTGAAAAGCGTCTGCTTCCACCACCACGTCCACTGCTTGTCCCTGGCTGTGAAGAGCATCCCCAAGAGCTGCCCCACGGGGCCATGGCCAGGAGGGAAGTCAAGGTAACCCCAAAACAGGCAGCACCAGTAACAGCACCGAGCAGCAGCACCCGCAGAGCCGGCAGCACCCAGGGCTGGATCCCACCAGGGGAGCATCGGAAGAGCATCGACCTCCACCTGCATCCCCCAGCAAACACCCCCCTTCACCTGCAACCCCCAGAGCTATTTGAGAGCAATGGCCCTTGTGGGCTGCCTGGTGCTTCCAAAATCATTTCTGGGGGCAGCAGGACCCCAGCACCCCGATATTCCTGGGGTTTGGGCGCTGCTCTCCCCCCATCGCCCCGAGGCGTCGGTGGCACAAACAGTACAAAAGTCCTTCTGTCTCCTGGGAAAAGCTTGGGAACAGTGTCAAAGTCCTGTCCGGTTGGGAAGGGAAGCACAAGAGACTGGAAATAAATAAATAAAAGAGTGCTCGTGAGCCTGGGATTGGTGCCTCGTGACGGGTCAGCAGGGCTGGCTGAGGTGACGGGGAAGGGAAGGGGAAGGAGAAAGGAGAGCCCCAGTCTTGTGAACATGTTGCTGGGGGCTTACACTGCCCAGATTTGGGGAGGAATAGCAACAGAAATGGGAAACCTGAGGAAAGCCAGTGGCCCATGTGGATTTACCTATGATTCCCCAAACCCCAGCTGTCCCCATCTCCCACCTCCTGGCCCCCCACCCTCTGTGACACCCTAAGGTGGCCCTGTCATTGCTGTGAGCATGGCAAGGCCTTTGAGAGCATCATCTCCAGCCACGGAGAGGATGGGGGCACCTTGGGCTGTGTCTCAAAGCTCGTGAGACTGACCCAGATTTTCCAGATTGGGTCCTGGGAGTCCCCCAGATCCCCAGAAACATCTTTGTTCAGGTAATGCAGCTGCTGGATGAGAATTTCTCCCCTTTTTGCTTGGTTAGAACACAACTAGACTGGCACAGCACGAGGTTTAAAGCTGCTGCCGGTACAAATCTGGTTTAATGGTGGATTTTGGTACCTCCTTGGGCCATTCCTCACTCCCCAGCTTCCCACCAAAACCCTCCATCCCAATCCTTTTATGCTCCATCCCTCTTTTTTGATGCTTTCATCAATTTTGAAGCCTCCTTGCTCACTGCAAACCCTCCTCTCCCAGCCTCCCACCATCCCTGTGTGTGTCCCTCCTTCAGGGTAGAGCCTCAGTCATTCCCAGTGTCCCCATTTCTCCCGGTGGCTTGCACCCTTTGGACTACTGGGGCTGAAATCACACTGTTTGCCATGACACAGGACGTCACTGGGAGAAAATATTCCTCCCAGACACTCCCTGGATATAGATGAATCCATAAAAGGTGACTTTAAATCCCATCATGGTGACACTTGGGACAGCAACCCCTGGGAGCCGGGCTGGGAGAAGCCTGGCTGTGAGCTGGTGATGGAGTAGGGGAAAAATAAAACCCAGAGGTGGTTCCTTAGCAGGGAATGGTGTGACCATGCTGGAAAGGAGCCCTGGAAATAGGCTTGAAGGCTGATCCAGCAAAGAGGATTAGATCACTGAGCAAACTGGTAATTCAGTTGGAGGAGACTGAGGGGAGACCTCATTGCAGTTCCAGCTCCCTGGGCAGGGGCAGAGGAGGGGCAGGACTGAGCTCTGCTCTGGGGGGAGCAGGGACAGCCCCCAGGGAATGGCTGGAGCTGTGTCAGGGCAGGCTCAGGG